GGTCAAGTTGACCAAAGAGCTGCAACCTGCCATGGCCTCATTCCCAAAGTGGGCCACCGAGTCCGGCATGGTCAAGTTTGCCAAGGAGTTGCAGTGTTGAAAAGCACAATCCTCAATGTGGGTCACAGAATTGGGGATGGTCAAGTCCACCAAAGAACTGCAACCCCGAAAGGCACCAATCCCAATGTGTGTCACGGAGTCTGGGATGATCAAGTTCACCAAAGAGCTGCAACCCTCGAAGGCGAAATCCCCGATGTGGGTCACTGAGTCCGGGATGGTCACTTTGGCCAATGTGGTGCAAAACTTGAAAGCCCCTTCACAAATTGCTGTTTCACGATATGGAATTTCGACCACAAGAAACAGTTCTGGGTCAACGATGCCGCCAAGACTGGCGATCTTCTTTTTATTGGAGCATATCACAACGTTTGGCTTGAAGACAACACTCACAACTGTACTTTCAGCAATTCCAGCATCCAATACCTTTGCATCATGGGCCAGTAAGTGGATGTCTCCGACAATGATCTCCACACCTGTAGTGCTCCGGGTCAGCTCGTCCCAAGACTTTCTCTCCTTGATCTGCTGCTTGAGCGCTTGGCCTGTTGTCTCTGGCGTGACTTCAAGAACCAGGCTTTCACCATTTGGCTGCAGCGCTGCAATCTGCGTCGCCATGGCTCAAAGACGACTTGGATTTGTTATTTGAGCTGATTGCTTGCTGACTAGCCTTGAAGAGCAATCTATATGATTGGACACATCTTCGTCTTCTTCGCCATAGAGTGAGTGGCAACACCTATCCTATCCTCATGAGGAAATCGTTGGAACCCGTTTTCTCGATCTAATCTGGAAAGCTGGCCATCTCTGAGCTCTGAACATCCGCCACAAGTACTCGATGGTGGATGGATTGACTTCCAGGTGGGGGACGTTCATGTTCGTCCAGGAACAGGACGTGAACAGGGTTCCCAGGAGCACCTCCAAAAAAAAAGGTTTCTTCGGTGCCTGGCATCCCGGGTCCCAAGAGAACATGTTTAAGGAGGACTCTATTCTACACTCAAACGGCGGCCAAACGCACGTGAGTGACCAGTTCGAGAGGTCCGCGCGGTCTAGAAGACGTTTATAAAGACGTCTCACCCCACGAGCGATCCGTATCGAAAGAGATCGAAAAAGAGGGTTCTCCGGGAAGTTGCAAACATTTATATTCTGGGTATTATGAAACACAAACACAGCGTACCTAGAAGCCCGTGGGAAGAAAGTATCGGACTGCCCCAGTCCAATTTTCCCTAAATGAGAATTCGAGGAGTCAGTGAAAATCTACGCAACATATCGCAGTATGGGACTATCCGCGAGGAAGCTTTTAGCCTTCCAAAAGCCATCAGCACTGCCTAAAAGCCACCAGGCGATCTCTATTAGTGACTGCATGCTGCGTATCCTTCTGCAAAGACATATGCGTGCCAAGAATTGAAAGCCGAATAGGACCCATCTTCTTTGGCATCTTCGATGCACCAAGATCGGCGGCTGGGAAACGTGTCGTTCTAAGCCCGTTCCAAGGGCGGAACGTGACCAAGTCACTAGGACCGGAAAACCTGGGGTTACCCAACTGGTAGTTCGTCGAAGGGCCTCGGGTGGCCTTCCACCCACCTCTGTTGGCCTTTGACCTATAGATCCTGGATGTGATCCGGCTTGTTCCCACGTACGTGCGCCCACGGACGTCCCAGGTGTTTCCGCGCCAGGTTTCTTTGCATTTAGTTGTTTGAGTGGTGTTACTTTGTGTGCTCATTCAGCAAGACGAACCTTCGAAAGCAAAGAGTCACACAACTGCAGAGACTTGCATGTGGAGGTGGATTCAGTGTTGCCATTCTGACCTTTTCAGTGGAAATGACTCGATGCAAACCCCAACAGACTTTTTGAAAGCCAATATAGTCTTCGTCTCCAGACACATCGCGGCAGTGTCTGAAGCAGGAAACACATGGAAACACGGCTTCCAGAGATGCACAGCAAGAGATGCACGTCCGCCTCAGGCCGGGAAGAGCAGCTCTTCCCCTCTGCGTTCAGGGAGTTGCCACGTTCGTTGGACTGTCTTTTTGGTATCGTCGGTCGGTGCACTACTACACCGTAAGGCAAGCAACAGAAAGCAGATCAAGGTGGATTGGACCAAAAACAGGAGTCATGGCAGGACTTGATGTTCCCAGACGCTCCAAACAGCCCTTGGTCCCTCAAAACCTAGGGATTTGAGACCCCAGACCCCTCCATATGAGGGTCCGACCCCTCCATATGAGTCTGAGGGATCATGAGCGTCTGGGTTGGTGAAAAAAGAGAGGCATTGGACGAAAAGCCATGGAGACAACATGTCGCAGCATCTTTTGGGGCTCCCAAACTCGGCCATCCTTTGCAGTTTGCAGCTAGGGATTGCAGCTCGGGCACCTACCAGATACCCTCAGCGATCGTTCGTTCGAACGTGGGCGTCTGGAGTCTGTGGTTCGCCTCACAGCCGCTTCCGGCTGGCTTAGCCTCCTATGGAGTTGTGAAGATTTTAGAGCTGACGGCAGCTGTGTTCCGTCCCTAGAACTTCCGTCACTTGGCTCACTAACCCCACCCCACTCTGGAAGTCATTCTTCACCACCTGTCCCCGTATAGGGACATGAAAGATGTGACCCAGACGCGACCTGTCTGGGACTGCCAGTCCGTTCTGCCGCCCCAGAGGTCGACCCCCCTGGCACCACCCCATCGGCCCTGAGTGAAACTCGGCAGTCCGGACGGTCGCGTCGTCCCATGTGTTGGTCGTGTCTGGGTGAGTTGTGAGATGTCGTGACCAACAGAGGTTAAGTGACCTGAACTTGGACCCTACAGGGGTACCGAACTAGGATAGTCTAGTTCGGGTTCTTCAACCTGGGAACTCACAGGGTCCCCTTCCGGCTCTTCCGCGAAACGGGACCCTGCAGGGTCCGTGTGACCTCCCCGGTGCTTTCCTCGGCGATGAAGAGAGAGCGGAAGTCCCGCTCTGCGAAGTGCTTCTTGGCCTCGGCTCGTGAAGCGCTCCGCGCGTCGGACAACGGCCCGTTTTCCGCGCCGCGTCTTTCGGCATTCCGAGCGACAGGGGCGCGGAATGGATTGGTTGGCCCATCCCATGGGTTTTTGAAGGTTTTTTGTACCAAAGGAACCGAGCTGTGCCTGGGATAGATTGTTGGAAGTCCACACAGGGCACCGTGGAGATTCAGCTGTGGAGTGGGGGGGGGGGGAAGTCTGATAGAAGAACGTTGCTGCAGAGACAGGTCAACGGGTCCAAGTACCTGGGTCCCCGGGTCTTCTTGGGGAGTCTAATCCCCAGACACTCCATGGGACTGCCATATTTGCCGATCAGTTGGGATGGTGCCAGGGGGGTCAATGGGGCGGCATATATGGCAGTCCCATGGAGTGTCTGGGATCATAGCCCCTGAAAAACCCAGCCCCGACGACCAACAGGTCTCCGAAATGGAGGGTTGGGCCTGGCCCTCTCAGGTCGAACCAGTGGTGACCTGGCAGGTCTCGGGTGCTGGTGGAGGTGATTCGGGATGTCCATTCTCCACCCCATGGGCCCTAAAGGCCCTGGTATCCAACTGGCCTCAGGGTCTCCTTGTTCGAGGGGCCCAAGACCCCCAAGGTGACCTGTTGGAGGCTGGCAGATGCTTTGCAAACATAGAGTGTGCCTCAAATGACCTGGGCCATGCGTAGTCTGGGTGTTGGAGATTACTAAAGATAGTGGGCTGGATAGTCAGGACACCCCCCCAAAAAAACAGGATGGGTAGTGTTCCATAGCGTCACTGAGAATTCCCAGGGGCGAATGATGGAGAAGCATCGCGGGACCTGGAATCTGTCGCCCGGTCTTTCGGAAAGAGATGCACGGGGCCCCCAGGTTCACCCCACCATTTTTGGGTATATCAAATCCTTTTCAAATCGGAAGTATACCATTTTGATCCCTTGTGCCTGGATCTTCCAACTGGTGCTTTCATGTTCTGCCCTATTGCATCAATCAAAACCAGCCAAGTTCGGCAGACATGTTGCTTATACCAAGAGAGGTCGTTCGTGACCTGAACTAGGACCCCACTGGGGTACCTAATCATGGTATATAAGTCTATTAGGGCCATTCAACCTCTGTTGGTAGTTGGAAGATCTCTTTCCTCCGCGTGAAACGCGGCGCGTTTCCATGCGCGGACTTGCCCCCGTATTTGAGACCCCTGACCCCTCCAGAGGATTCGGGTCCGACCCCTCCATAGGTTCGGGCCCAGGGCTCGCGTCTGGGTGGTTCTTCAACCTCTCCGCATTCCGATCCGAGGTGCGTGATCCAAGGATCTCCCGTAGTGAACCCACGGATCGGCCTGGCATCTTCGCGCAGCCGCACGGCCGACCCGGCCGCGAAACCCCCACGGAGGAGGGGCTTGGCTTCCGCGGCGAAGGCTTCGCTGAAGGCTTCGGAAGTTGTGGTGCGGGGGGAGCCGCCGGCGGCCAGATCGGGCCAAGAGAGGTCGAGAGGTCGCTTCACGTTCGGACCCCGGTCTGTGGTACGTATGGGATGGCTGTGAAAAACCTCTCTTGGGGTGTGCGACGCCGATCCCGAACAAGATCAGTGGAGATCGGGGCGTCCAGACAGACAGAGGATGGTCCAGGAAACCAAGAGAGGTTGAACAGCCTTATAGCCCATCCCATACGTACCACTATGGGGTCCTAGTTCAGGTCTCTCAACCTCTCTTGGAAGTTCTTTGGCTCTTGGAGGTCTTGGAATGGTGTTTTCAAGCAGCTCGGAGTTGAAGACTGCTGAGTCGATCATGTTAGAGGGGACTGCTTCCTGCCTGAAGGGGGGAGAGGGACTTGAAAGAAGCCACTATCGGTCAGAGTCTAATCAATGTGATAGTGTGATCCAGATGTTCCGGAAACAAAGAACGTCCAAAGTTGAATGGTGTAGCTGCAAATACCAAGAGAGCTTGGACAGCCCTAAGGTCGCCCATCGCATATGTACCACTACAGGGTCTTAGTTCAGGTCTCTCAACCTCTCTTGGTAGGGGGAGAGACGCCCCTGGCCCTATTCTTCGCCTGGCGTTTTTCTTCGACGGCTGTCCTCTACCGCGGTCGGCCGGGTGGCCCGTTAGGGCGAGTCAGGTGCCAGCCATTCCGCACCCAGTCCCAACAACACATGGATCGTTTTCCCAAGCACTTCCGAAAAGAGAAAGGATTCGGGTTTCCAGGTGGTAAGTCATTCCGGAAAACTGTTCGAAAGCACCCTGCATGGAAAGAAGGAACAATAGCAGCACAGGGTCTCATCGTTCGAGGGTTGGGAAGGATAACAGCTCGAGCCCTTGTTGACCTGGTAGTTTTCGGGTGCTTGTAGTCGTTTCGGTTTGTTCTTTTTTCGGAGGCCATCAATCAGACGTAACAGCGCAGGAAAGGGTGGATTCACTGGGCGTCCGCTCCTTCAATGTACAAGCCTGGTCACTCCATCCGTTCAGGCGTTCCTTCGTTCTGAACCGATTGACGGGTCTGGTGAGTCTTCTTTTCAAGAAGAACACAGCCATGCAGTTTCATGTCGGAGTGCTTCGAAACTGGTTGCATTGAATACTAAGAGAGGTTTTTCACAGCCTGAAAAGGTCGCCCATCTCATACGTATACCACAGACCGGGGTCCGAACGTGAAGCGACCTCTCAACCTCTCAACCCTTCGTGGATGTCACGGTTCGGCCCCCGGGAACTTCCTGGCTGTTCTTTACATCCCAAACCCGTCCTGTCTGAGACTGCCGACTGCCGCCCACGCTCCCCGCAACGCGGCGCGCCTCGCCGTCGAAGGTCGCCACGTCCAGGTGGGGCGAGGGCCCGGCCCAGGCGATGCCCAGGTCTCCGCAGAGCTCCCGAGACGCTTCGCCTGGCCGAGTCGAGACCCGCGGCGCCTGAGCTCTACCGGTCGAGACCCGCGGCGCGCGTGAGCTTGGCCCCGTGAAACGATCTTTTTGGGGTACCATATGGCCGAAGAAAACTGGTACACACTCTGCCAGGACCCTCTAAGGGGTGTCCAATGGACTACCCCACACTACCTATAGGCTTCCATTGGGCACCCCTTAGAGGGTCCTGGTGGGCACATGCATGGTTATGATGCAACCATTCTGCCAGGATTGAAACCGTGATTATAACCTTATAGTGACCTTTAGTGCTTATAAACTATAAATTTTGCTTCTACCCCTCGATCCATCCACCCACCCAATTGATTGCTTCTTTCAAACCTCTGCTCGGACTACCATCTCGACCCGACTAACGTCCTCGCTCCCTCGCACCACGAAACTCGAAACTCTCGCGCCAACCGCGCCTGGCGCGCTCTGGGAGACCAGCACGGCGTTGGTGCCAAAGCCGGCGCGGAGCAACGACCTTTGGTCTGGACGTGGGTCCGGGCGCGGCCGCGGGGAGCAGGGAGGCGCTGAAAGGAGGTGTGGTGGAGGCACCAGGATGTGGTGTCTCGTGTCTTTGGAGGGGGGGCGCCCGTGAGCTTCGATGGTGTCGGGATGGGTGGAGAACATACACGAAACTTGATCCAAAGTGTTCAGGACGAGTTGGGCGAGCGCAAAGGGGCGATTTCAGGCGGGAAAAAGAATGGGTTTTGAATTGAGACCCTATACCAGGACCCTCCAGTCGGGGTGCCCTGTCTGGAAGCCGAACGGCCGGTAGTGTGGGGTAGTCCAGCCAGGACACCCCGAGGGTCGGAGGGTCCAGGTAGGATCGGCTTCCGACCGTTCCCTCCCGTTCCCGCCACCGGTGTGGACGACCAACCTTCCGACCCGTTGCTTCGTCCGCGCGGCCGTAAGGTCTTCTGGAGGCTCTGGACATTTCGTCCAGTGGCGATCACCAGCGCGGCGATGTCGCCTGGGACGATAGGAGGTACATGAGGGTGAGGGGTGATGCAGGCCAGACTCATTGGACCCTCCCAAGAGAGGTTGAGAGACCTGAACTAGGACCCCATAGTGGTACGTATAGGGATGGGCGTTTTCAGGCTGTTCAACCTCTCTTGGTCCGACCTGGAGGGTGACCTGACCCAGAACGGAACGGGCGCCGGACCCGAACCAACCCGAACCAACGGCCCATACGCCGGACCCTCCGAGGTTCAGCTGGGCACCGCACGAACGGGAAACCACCCACCGAACGACCAGGAGGGTCCAGTTGGTAATGCTGCAGCTGCAGCCGGTCTTGCCAGGCCTTGCCAACCATGGCCAACCCGTAAACCAACAACGTACACCGCAGGACTTGGCCGTAAAAGGGGTGCCGAACTTGGAGGGCACAAGTAGGGGGTTGCCCCTATCACATCCACTCACCAGATGCTTCTCAAAACCACTCCGACGTGAAGGCTAAGGCCCAAGGCCTTTGTTTCATGCCGTTGTTTCGGCGGCATCGACTCACCGACCCGTCTACGCGTCGCGTCTCAACCCGCTGGTTCCGGGCCTTTCTGGCCAACCCGCCACTGGAGATCCATCTAAGTGGATCCCAGTGACTGCTTCTAGGTCTCAGAGGCCCGAACAACCGGTCGACATGGCGCCAGATCACCGGTTGACGTGGACTCCGACCGAGCTTGGGAAGGTGCCTGTCCAGTCACCGCTGGATTCATCGCTGCTGAGTCAGCTTCGAAGGTGTTGAGTCCCTGTCCGGTCGTCTGTCCATTTGGTCACGTCTCCCAAGCATAAACCCCCACCAAAAAAAAACAAACCACAAGGGTAGCGTATAGACCCCCCCTGATGATGTAGATGTTCCATCCAATCACCACCCTAACTTTGAGAGTGATGGTGAAGTAAAAAATATCTACCAGGACATATAGCAGGACACCCCATTCACCACCCCCAACTGTGGGGTCCTGGTATCAAACACTGCTCCTCCCTCTCCCTGCCCCCTCCCGCCCGGTCTCGGCCTTCACCCGGCGTCTCGCCGCCGAAGTCCACTCCAGGCGCCGCGACGGCCGTCACCGGCGGCGCGGGCGCCTCCGGACTGGGGGGCCCAAGTGGGTGAGCCCGAACCGGAGGAGGGTACGACAACGGAGGTGTAGGGGCGTTGGATTGAAAGGGTCTGGTGCTGTTTCATTGGGTGTTTCATGGTGTCTCAGGGTTTCTATGTTTTTGAGGGAGCAGGCTGTTTGGAATGTCTATCTTCAATATAGCTAGTATATATATATATATATACAAATGAATTACAATTAGATGATAAAACTGATCAACCAATACAGGCCTAATCAGGTTTCAGAATACTGCGAATCAGACCTTCAAGTTCAGAAGGGGAGAGCTGCAGCATAGCAAATCCAATCCAAATCAAAGGCCACACAATAAAAAAAGGGGTGTGAGTGTACAGCAACCACTTTGGATGTGTGAAACCTGGAGGTTTTTTTTTACATCATGCATTGTATTAAAAAAGAATGCGTAAACACCCAGACGCTCCAAACAGCCCTTCGTCCCTCAAAACCTATAGGGATTGGTTCTGTGGAAGCCCGCACAAATGAAGAAGTGTACCAAGTTCGGTTTGCTAGGTCAAGGCCTTTTGGCTATGATCAAGAGTAGCATTTTCCAACTGGGTCACGAACGTTTGACTAGGTGCACCTGAAGCCCTTTTTACCAGCAGAAAAGGAGCGACGCGCTCTCGTAGGTTATGAGCCCAACGGACCGGGTCTGAAGACCACCCGATACCTTCACGTGGAAGGGTCGGTAGTTGGCTCCCATGCCGTCGAGGGCGGCCGGCGCTGGGGCGAGCGCGGCGGCTGGTGCGGCAGCGGGCGCAGCTGGCGCGGCTGGGGCGGCGAAGGCGGCTAGCACGCCAGAAGAAGGGTCGATGGAGAGTGCCAAGGAAGAAGAGATCTTGGCCCTGGAGGATGCCACTGACGCTTTGGTGCCAGCTTCGACGGCGCTGGTGCCGGCCCACGGCCCGCCCATGAGCTATATGGGCCTCAACGTCGAGGTGAGCATCCTGGGAAAGGAAAAGGTGATGCTTCCAAGGCCGTCCAGATCAATCCCTTCTGGAGCGAGCGGATGCAGGCTGAGGCGAGACTGAGGGCTATGCGACCTTCCGCGTTGCCGGATGGAGAAGCTGATGGGCCCCAGTCTTCGGGAAGGGTGGAGCCCACTGACGAAGAACGGGGGGTTTCAATGGACATCAAGGAACTCCTCCGAGCAGTCATGGCACAGAATGCCGCCCTGAAGAAGGAGGTTGGGGAGTTGAGAAAGGAGGTCAAGGAGTCGAAGGGGAAGCCGAAGGGAGCGATCGAAGATGCGCCGAGACCTCCGACGACTACTCCACCGCCTTCACCTCCGAAAGATCCTCCCCCGTGCACACCAGTGAAGGGACAGAAAGAGAACTCAAGTCAGGCGTGGGCCGATTTGCAGATTCCAGAGTTCCCGGTATCCGTGAAGGGTGACACTATGAGGAGAGACCAAGTACCTCGGGGTTCGGGAGTTCCTGAAGTGCCCGGTTCTTGGGGTGTCGGAGGGTGGGGACTATGTGATGGACGCCTCCGAGAAGCAGATCGAGAGGGTGGTGCTAATGGGGAAGGCTTGAAGGAGTTGATCAAGGGGTCTCCTCTTGAGCAGGCAGCCCAGTCGGTGTTGAGACAGCTTGGCACGAGCCCGACGGAGGGACATGGGGCGGAGGTGATTCGGTCAGTGGAACTACCACCTCTACAAGACTTACGAGAAGGGGATCTGGGTTCGTTGATCCTTGGAGACTGGATCCAGTTGGTGACGCCCACGATGAAGGATTTAAGTGCCACAAGCTGGAAGTGGTGGGAGGATGTGCTGAACTTCGCCATGGTGGCGTACCGCGAATGGCTTCAAGCAGAGCCGGTACAGAGACTCTACATCAGGCCAAGGCTTCCGGCTGAGTGCTCCGGGGTTTGGAGCCGACTCGAAAAGCGAGGTCAGCTGATGTTGATTAACGCGGTGCCGCAAAGCATCAAGGCGGAGATTTTGGCCAGCAGGACTACCAGTTCGGTGGAGGTCCTCTACGCTTTGTTTCGAAGATACCAACCTGGAGGATTGGCAGAGAGGTCCCGGTTGCTTCGACAGTTGGTCGATCCCAAGGCACCCCAGAGCATGAACGAGGTGACGGAGGCACTTCGGGGATGGAGACGGAGTCTGAGGAGGGCACAGGAGCTCGAGATCGCAACTCCGGATGCCACCTTGTTGCTCGGAGCGCTGGATAAGATGTCGGAGCTGGTTGGGAAAACGTCCAATGTGGCATTTCGAATGTCTTCAACAAGGGCAACCCTGGGAGTGGACGTGACCCCAACCCTGGAGACTGTCCTGAGCTTCGCTGACATGCTGACGGCAGAAGCCGAATCATTGGCCATCAGTGAGTTGCAGCCGGCTCCGGAGGTGAAACCGGTCACTGCTCCTACGACGAAGGTCAAGGCCATGACGGCGATGCTTGAAGAAAAGGGAGAAAAGGGCACCGGAAAGGGGCGCCTGGACGGCAAGCCAGAGGAGAAAGTCTGTCGGTTCTGGGGCACTGATGATGGGTGCAGAAAGGGTCAGGAGTGTCGCTTCAAACATGAATGGGGTGGCCTCGACAAGAAAGGAAGATGCTTCGGATGTTCGGGAACTGGCCATTCGAAGAAGGACTGCCCGACTGTGAAGCTGAGATCGAAGGAGTCGCCGGAGAAGCAGGCTGTGAAGTCCGTCAAGGAGAAGGTTCAGACCGCCCAGGCAAAGGGGGACACAGTGGAGGCTGGGCCCAAGACTGGGGGGAGCGATGCGGGAACTTCAGGAGAGATGAAGGACCTGTTGAGTGAAGCGACGACTTTGCTGAAGAGTTTGAGACCATGTTCGTCGATGAAGGCCATTCGGCTAAGCAGCCTCGAGGTTCGAGAAGGTGGAAGAGCGCTTCTGGATGGAGGGGCCACGCACTGCTTGAGGAGAACCTCATCAGAAGAGGAGTGGGCGAGCGCCCAAGAGGTCAACGTAGAATTGGCGGCCGGGTCAGCGGTCTTGAGATTGCTCCCGTGGACGAGAACCTTGCTGACCAAGGAGGATGTACAGGTCATCGTCCCCCTGGGGGTGCTCATTTCCTTGGGCTATGAGGCGGTCTGGGAGAAGACGAGATTTGAGCTCACGGACCCCACCGGACTGGTGCTAGACACGAAGGTGGAGAACTCGTGCCCTACGATTGATGAGACACTGGCTCATGAGCTGATCCAGGAGATCGAGCGAAGTATGGTGAGGGAGAGGGCCCGGCTGGCACATCTGGCTGGGGAGAACATCGGCTTGGAAGTGGACCCCGAGGAGGCGAAGTATCTGTCCGAGCTGAAGGACCTCTTCCCGGAGGTACCGCACCACATCCTCGAAAGGCTGCTCCCGAAGAAGGGCTGGACCGGCGAGGGGTTGCCTTGGAATAGGCATGAGAGAAGGAGAGTCCGCAGGTCCAAGGAGGTTGTGATCCACCTCTTCAGCGGAGATTCAAAGAGATTTTGGCAAAAGGAACTGGAGGCGGAAAGTCGAGCGGTCATCTGCGTTGACACGGTCATTGACCAAGGAATGAACCTCCTGCGAGACGACATCTTCTCCTACCTGCTGGACTTGGCGGATGGTGGGACGGTGTGTGCATTGTTGGGAGGACCTCCATGCCGGACGATGAGCAGACTGAGATTCAAGCAGCCGGGACCCCCACCACTGAGGGAACGTGAAGGTCCTTACCGGTTTGGTCTCCCACAGCTGGACCGCTACCTACGAAAGCAGGTGGAGGATGACACGGTCCTGTTTCTGACGCAGTTGTACCTTCATCATCGAGCAGCGCTAGCTAGAAGCCCGAAGGTGACACTGGCCGCACTGGAACAGCCTGAAGACCCGGAGGAGTATCTCAAGGCAGAGGACAAGGAAGCCCGCAGGTACCCATCCTATTGGAGCTGGCCAGAATGGAGAGCAGTCAGAGATCGCTGGGGTCTGATGGAGGTCAGTTTCGACCAAGGACCCATGGGGCACTCGAGAAGAAAACCCACGCGATTGGGAACCAACATCCCGAGGCTGGCCGAGCTGCAGGACATCCGGGGACATGGGAGTGGAGGAGATGCGGCCCTAGCGGAGAACCTGACGGAGAGGATCAAGCAGAGCCGAGACTGGTCGGCATGGGCGCCTGGGTTGAAGCAGGCACTGGCGACCGCCATTCGAGAGGCGTTGGACTCCCCGGTGTACCTGGCGAAGTGAATGGATCTGGATGCCTGGAAAAGACACCTTCTGAACGGGCATTTGCCCTACAATAGAGAATGCAAGTCCTGCGTCATCGCCGCATCACGCGGCAAGGCGCACAAGAGGATCCCACATGCTGAAGCTTATACGCTGTCAATCGACACGGCAGGACCGTTCATGCTGGCGGACGACCAACTTGGGAAGGGTCGCTTTGTGCTGGTGGGAGTCTACCTGGTTCCGGTGACCAAGGGTGGCCAATCGCTCATCCCGATCCATGAAGAGGATGAATTGAAAGGGGCTGAAGGAGAAGGACCGGAGCTCACGGTAGTTGATGAAGGAGAAGAAGATCCCGAACGGGAAGGACCTTGGCCAGGCCTGGACGATGAAAAGGAGTGGGCTTCACTGGTGGAGTCAGAGCAGGACTTCCAGGTCAAGCAGATCACGTTTGCAGAGGTCATGGAGAAACGGGGTGCGTCGGCAGTCCTGGAAGCAGTGGGACGAATGGTGGCCAAGTTGACCTTCTTGGGTCTCCCTGTCAAGCGTCTGCATTCTGATCGGGCAGGCGAGTACCAGAGCAAGATGTTTGACAAGTGGGTACGAGACAGAAGTATATGTCGCACCTTCACCGATGGAGACAACTTCAAAGGAAATGGCCGTGCAGAGGGAGCAGTGGCTCAGCTGAAACGTGGTGCACGAACCCTACTGGTAGCGGCAGGTCTTGATGAGAGCTACTGGTGTCATGCTTCGAGGCACTGGGCAGACACTCGACTGAGAAGTCAACTGGAGTCCATGGGGTGGAAGCGGCGACAGCTGGCGACCTTTGGTCAGGTGGTCTGGGCTAAGAGGAAGCTGTACAGTGATCGCCAGAAATACCTGTCCACGACCAGAACCCAAGTGAGAGTTCTCTGCCCAGCGGTCACCATGTCTATGACCTCACCGGGATACTTCGTGGAGGAGCTCGACACGGGAAAGCTGTTCCACACCGCGGACATTATCCAGGTAGATGACATGCCAGGAGGAGTGGAACTACCAGATCGAGAAGCTGGAGTGATTCATGAGGTTGATGACCGAGAGGAGACCCAGCAGCCACGGAAAAGACCGGGAAGGACCCGTGGAAAGGTCAAACTCCTCCAGGTGGAGACGGAGATGGAGTCCGTAGACTGGGGGGAGCTACAGCATCGGGGAGCGAGAATGCTGTCTCAGGAGCTTCAACTTCTGGAAGAGGACTCCGGAGAGGTCAGGAATGAGAGATTTCTGAAGGCTCTCACGATGGAGATCGAGGAGATCAGCCAAGAAGCCGTTCAAGCCGGCCGACAGGAAGAGAGGAAAAGGGTCACCGAGATCGAGGAGAAATTGGAGGAGGCCCCGGAGTTCCTGCAAACGCGAATGGTGGGCCTGACCGAGGTGAGGAGAAACCTGGGAGAGTGGAAGCCATCCATGGTCGAGGAGTACGTGGCGCTGACCGATGAGTCGGAGGCGGTAGAGGCCATTAGCCAAGCGGAGTCGGATCGGTTGAAGGAGGAGGCGAGGGCGCAGGGCAGGGACTTTGACCTGGTGCCAGCAAAGGCCATCTTCAGTCGAAAGGCAGGCACAGGAAGACACAAGTGCCGGGGGGTAGCATGTGGAAACTTCATGCATGCCAAGAGCTCTGAGTCCACGTTCGCTTCCGGTGCCAGTGGAATCGAGGTGAGGACGCTGATCAAGCTGGCGGCGATCAACCAGTGGGCCCTCAGCACCCTTGACGTCAAGACGGCGTTCCTCAACGCCCCAGCGGCCCATGACCGTGGGGTGGTGGTAGTCCAACCGCCACGGATCTTTCAGGAGGCGGGAGTGCTTCGAGATCAGAAGGAGTTGTGGCTTGTCAAGAAAGCCCTTTACGGGTTAGTGACCTCTCCACGGGATTGGTGTGACCACCGAGATGGGAAGATCAGAAGTTTCCAGTGGATGAGAGAAGGGAGACCCGTGAGGGTGCAAGCAACACCTCAGGCGGACATCTGGCTGGTACAGGAACAGGATGATCAGAGCACTTGGACCACAAAGGGCGCAGTGGCCACGTACGTGGACGACGTACTGAGGTGGGCGAAGAGGAGATCATCCAGGGGTTCATTGACCAGGTCAAGATGCACTGGAGGATTGGGGAACCGGAGTGGGTGAGAGAAGGCCGAGAACCGGTGCGCTTCCTGGGAATGGAGATTGAGAAGAAGGGCCAGGATTTCGCCATCCACCAGCGGGCGTACTTGGAGAGCCTGTTCATGGAGTACGATGAGCAGGGGAGGGCATCCTTGAACCAGATCAAGACCCCGGAGGAGGAAGAGAGCCCGCAGTTGACTGAGGTGACCCAGGCCCAGAAGGAAACTGGTGAACTCCTATGGGTGGCGGGGAGGACGAGGCCAGATGTCTGCCTGGCGGTGAGCATCATGTGTCAATGGGCCACAAAGAGGCCGAGAGCGGTGATGGCCATCGGGAAGCAGGTGAGGGCCTACCTCCGGCAGACCAGGGAAGAGGTGCTGTACATCTCCGGCGCCATTGAGGAGGAAGAGAAGAATGAGAAGGGCTGGAACCGGGTGGAGGTGTATTCGGATGCATCTTACGCCTCATCGGACATGAAGAGCCTGACTGGTGTCGTGGTGTGTGTTGGGGGCACGCCGATCACCTGGCATACGACACGACAAGCATTCATCACCTTGTCAACGGCAGAGGCGGAACTCATGTCGCTGCTGGAAAGCCTGATCTGTGGCAGGTCGGCGGGATCGTTGATGGAGGCGATCTTTGGAGAGAAGGTCCAGGTCAGACTGCACTCCGATTCGACAGCAGCCATCGCCATCGCGAATGGGACTACATCATCGTGGAGGACGAGACACTTGAGGATCAGGGCGGCTGGATTGACTGAGGCTCTGAAGTCACAGGAGGTGTCGTTGGAACATGTAGCTGGGACAGAGCTGGTGGCGGACGGCATGACGAAGCAGCTCACCGGGCAACCGCTCCTGAACTTCAAGAGGTCCCTGAGGTTGAGGATGATGGATGAGAAGGCGGAGAGCATTGAGGTCAAGAGAATGGAGCTGAATGGAAGAACGCCGGACCCCAGATTTCAGAGGGTTCTCGGAATGATGATTGTGGTGGCGAGCATGGTGACCAGGGCCGAGGCGTCGGAGACTGTCAAGGAGGAGGGGAACAGTGAGTGGTGGATCTTGGTGCTGCTGACAGCAGCCATTGCGGTTTTGGGGGACATCATCCTTCGAGTGGGCTCCGCAGGAGTTCAGCGGTGGTTCAAACCCGCGGAGGAGCTGAAGGTGAAACTCCTTCATCCAGAAGCCATCCTACCCTCTCGAGGCTCCGAACAGGCAGCGGGACTGGACCTACACTCTACCATAGAGACGATGGTTCAGCCGGGAGACAGCGTGCTGATCAAGACGGGCATCGCACTGGAACTTCCGAGAGGAAGCTATGGAAGAGTGGCACCAAGATCATCGTTGGCGATCCGGGGAATTGAGACTGGAGCTGGCGTGATCGACCGGGACTTCAGGGGAGAGGTCAAGGTGCTCCTGCGGAACCACTCCGACGTGGACCTCAGGATTTACAAGGGCGACCGAGTGGCGCAGCTGGTGGTTGAGAAGATATTGGAGGTGAAGGTGAACTGCGTGGAAGAGCTGTCCTCAACCGCCAGGGGTTCTCGAGGATTTGGGTACTCAGCTCATGAAGACCTGTACCCGTGGGCAGAACCTGATGACCCGACCTACCAACGTCAAGAACTTGGGACCTCCCATCCGGTGGATCGCATCTCGGTGAGAGCATTGAGGATGAATACCAGCCCGTGCCAGGCCCCGATGGCATCCGCTGGGCAGACACCGGTGCGGGACGAAGAGGATGCTCCCCTTCCAGACCGGCCTGAACCAGAAGGACAACATCGAGGACAAGCTCCGGGACTATGGCATCGAGGCACTCAGACCGAGATGGACCAGCAGAGGGAGCTATTTCCTGATCATCAAGAACCCTCTGATGAGCTTCGAGTACCCGATTCTGGACTATGGTGTCGAGGGGCCTATGACGCCGAGGCAGAAGAGAGACGACGGGCCAACCCAGCGCTTGGGATCGCTATATGGTTCGCCGAGGTCCACGGCGAAACCATGGAGGAACTTGGGTGATGCTGGATTCGGAGGGGGTGCATTTCGTGGCACACGATCCGGGAGATGGCCGGGGACCTCCAAGACAGACAGATCCAGGAGCACATGGCGGCGAAGGAGATGAAGCACCACCCCAGGAGGGCGAGACCATCTCGCAGGTGCCGCCTCAAGGTCGATTGCCAAGGGTGGAACCACTGAGGCTGATCACCACGGTCGAGGAGGGGATCGTGCTGGGAAAGTGGTGTCATGAAGAAGAGATGTGGGACTACTTGAGGACTCCGGGCTTCCAGAAGGGGTTCATCAATGGAGCGGTCCTCAAGGTGATCTCTACGCCACCACTGCGAACAGCAGCCAAGGACTCGTGGGAGTATTTGATCGACCACGAAGATGGAAAGAAGATTGGAATCCGGGTACATCACCAGACCCGGAAGAAGCTGTACGACTTCGAGACGAAGATCCTCTTGGAAGAAGAATGGAGCAGATGGAGGATGACAGTGGCGTGGCCGCTGATTGGAAAGAGGAAGACCATTTTGGTCGACGAGAGGAACGGCAGGAAGGGGCTCCACTTGGACACATGGTGGGGATACACCCTCTTCCGATCGACGTGAACGAGGAGGGCTTGAGCTGAGGCCGGAAGGACGGCCAAGTTTTTGAACGGGGTGCGGCTCCGAATAGGTGCTAGCACCTAGGGGGAGTGTGGAAGCCCGCACAAATGAAGAAGTGTACCAAGTTCGGTTTGCTAGGTCAAGGCCTTTTGGCTATGATCAAGAGTAGCATTTTCCAACTGGGTCACGAACGTTCGACTAGGTGCACCTGAAGCCCTTTTTACCAGCAGAAAAGGAGCGACGCGCTCTCGTAGGTTCGACCCCAGACCCCTGACCAGTTCGGATTCGGGTCCGACCCCTCCATAGGTTCGGGCCCAGGGCTCGCGTCTGGGATTCATAGGTCGTTGTTGTTTGGCTCCCAACTCTCGCAGTGCAATTCCAAGCTCCACCTGCTCCCCCCCTCACTCGCTGCCCACCTCACTAGATGCGGGGACTGCCACGTGCGGCTCGCGCGCGGGAAGTGCCGGTCGCGGCAGCTCAGTCGAAGGCCAGACAGCCAGAACGGCCAGGGCCTCCAGCGGCGGAAGAAGTCTGGTTCAAGGGATGGAAACAAAACCTACCAGCTGCTTCCGTTACCAGGCTGGAGAACCCTACACTGCTTGATTATAGGTCACCAGGACAGGAAGCGCTACAGTAGGCCGCTAGGTATAGATCTTCCAACTGTGCAATAGATGTTTCTGCCGGACTTCATCAATCAAACCAAGGCAAACATGTTGAAATAGTTGAAGATCCAGGCATGAAAGAACCACCTGGTTCTAAGATGATATCAAGGGATGCAACAAAAAGGAGACCCGACTCTTGAACCTAATAAGGATGGTTTATACTCCACCATTGCACACGATCAACCCATTCCGCGCGCAACCAAACTCACCCTGGAGTTTGGCAAGATGGGTGAACAAGATGGATTGCATCGAATTAGCGCAGCGTAAATACCCATTCCGTCTTCAGCTGTGTCTTCTGCGCTTTCGCTCTCTGCTCTCAAAGGCACCTAGCCCAATGTACTCAAGTGAGTCTGGGGTGGTCCAGTTCGCCGAAGAGCTGCAACCACCAAAGGCAGCGCACTCAATGTGGGTCACTGAGTCCGGGATGGTCACATTCAGCAAAGAGCGGCAATCCCGAAAGGCACCCTCCCCAATGTGGGTCACTGACTCTGGGATGGTCAAGTTCACCAAAGAGCTGCAACCCTGAAAGGCACCCTGCTCAACGTGGGTCACTGAGTTTGCGATGGTCAATGTTGCCAAAGCACTGCAACCTTTAAAGGCACAAGGCCCAATGTGGGTCACAGAGTTGGGGATGGTCAAAGTTGTCAAAGATGTGCAGTTCTGAAAAGCATAACTCCCAATGTACGTCACCGAGTCCGAGATGTTAAGCGTTGTCAAAGAGTTGCAATCATCAAAAACATGCTCCCCGACGTGTGTCACTGACTCCGGGATGGTCAAGTTCACCAAAGAGCTGCAACCCTGAAAGGCACCATTCCCAATGTGGGTCACTGAGTATGCGATGGTCAATGTTGCCAAAGCACTGCAACCTTTAAAGGCCTCAGGCCCAATGTGGGTCACGGAGTTTGGGATGGTAAGGCTTGTCAAAGAGTTGCAACCACCAAAGACTTCCTGTTTGATGTGGGTCACTGACTCTGAGATTGCCAAGTTCACCAAAGAGCTGCAACACAGAAAGGCATGATTCCCAATGTGGGTCACTGAGTTCGGGATGGTCAAGTCAACCAAAGAGCTGCAATCCCAAAAAGCACCCTCCCCAATGTAGGTCACAGAGTCCGGCATGGTCAAGTTTGCCAACGATCTGCAACCCTCAAACGTAGCGTCACCAATCTGGGTCACAGAGTCCGGAATGGACAAGTTCGCCAAAGCGCAGCAACCTCGAAAGGCCCAATCCCCAATGTAGGTCACAGAGTTCGGGATGGTCAAGTCAACCAAAGAGCTGCAATGCAAAAAGGCATCATCCCCAATGTAGGTCACAGAGTCCGGGATGGTCAAGCTTGTCAAAGATTCGCAACCTGTAAAGGCACTGCGCCTGATGTACGTCACAGAGTTGGGGATAGACAGGTATGCCAAAGCACTGCAGCCGGCAAACGCGTAATTCCCAATGTGAGTCACTGAGTTCGGGATGGCCACTTTGGCCAATTTGTCGCAACCTTCGAAAGCGCAATCACAAATTTGTGTTTCGTCATCTGGAATTTCGACCACAAACAGCTCAGAGTCATCAATGCCACCAAGCGCACTTTGGTTGGAGCAGATCGCTTTGTTTGGTTTAAAGACCACAGTCACAACAGTATCTTCAGTAATTCCAGCATCCAATACCGTTGCATCATTGGCCAGCAAATGGTTGTCTCCAACAATGATCTCTACAACTGTGGTGCTGCAAGTGAGCTCGTCGTCCCAACGCTTGCTCTCCTTGATCTGCTGCTTGAGTGCCCAGCCTGTCATCTCTGGCGTGACTTCAAGAACCAGGCTTTCACCACTTGTCTGCAGCGCTGAAATTTTGGTCACCATGGCTGAAAATACTACGGACTTAAATTTGAGTTGACTTACTTTGCTTGGTGTGTAATACTAGGGCTTACCTGGATCTCATTGATTATTTCATGTTATTTAGTTGAATGTTCCTGTCTGTCTTCTACTGGGTCGCTGGACTTGGGCAAATCGTTAGCGAACCGCGTGGTTGATGGAGTTCCAAACAGACCTCCACACGGTCGGCGAACGGACTCACATCCCCCGATGTGGGGGGCCACGTCGAGGTTCTTCAGGTGGCGAAATCAGCGGAAGAACATGGTCTGATTGGGATGCGGGATGATTGTTGAGTGGCTTTGGTGTATGCCGACCAGTCGAGAGTTCACGCTGTTCTCCTTGGAGGATGCATTTCCAATCCTAGAACAGACATCAAATGTCAAAAGTCACACCTCGCTTTAGCTCCTCCGTCCCCGGAGCTAAAAGCACAAATGACAAGACCATACAAGACCTCATATTGACTTCAGTTGCTCATAGAAAACACGACGTCCATGAGCTCTACACCCATGCCGCCCGGTCCACCCGTTCGTCTGACTTCGTGAAAGACTGGCAGTCTAACCGGGTGCTGGACCGCATCAACACTGACACGGGCGAAAAAGGGATTTTCAAAACAAAAGAAACAAGGGATGCCAAGCAACCAAACAACACATAAACAAACAACTATGCAACAGCAAAGAATACTAACAAGGACGACAACAGCAACAACAAGCAAGCATATATACGAAGAAATAAAGAGCACTTCATGGAAAGAAAACACAGCCGTTGAAGAAACATCAGCTCCTGAAACACCATGATATACCAAGCAACACATGACGTTCCTTTATGTCTTTGGGATTCCGTGGTTCTCTTTGTCTTTTTTGATTCCTTTGCTTCCTTTGCCTGGCGAATGATTCGACGAAGTCGCAGAACCGTTGAGTGTTAACGAGAAGGAACAACGTGGTGCAGAACGTCTTCATTTGATTTGTTCGGACCTCGGGTTCGTTCGGAGTTGGAGGTTTGTTGCAGAATTTGAGCTGTCATTTAATACCTTGCATGTGTCATGAAAAGGGAGGTTTGTCCTCCCTTCTTTTGCTGTTTACGCTCTTCTCCTGGACAGCAATGTCGCTCTCTTCGTGGCCAAGGGGATGGACTTCGAATGATGAAAAGAGAAAGCTCTGTCAGATGCAACTGAAGGTTGAAGATGGTTGAAGAAGAGTCATTGTAGAAAAGAGAGAGAGAGAGAGAGGGTGGCCATGGGTGGCTCTTGGGTTTTCTGTGTTCGATAGCATGGAAGCAAATCTCTGAAAAGTGCATCAAACCGCCTAAACCGCACCTGTGCAGCAACGGCCGTACCGTTTTGCTGTGGGTGCCCGGCAGAAACTATAGACTCAACAACTCGATGCAACTGCCATATCGAGTGCAATCTTGAGACAACTCATTGCTCACAGTATACCATGATATGATATGTCATATACATCAAATATCAGAATCGCAGGAGGACCCGAGGAACCCCATCCTTCATCCTTCAACCACCGGCCTTCTCCGATCAACACATATACCAACACACGCAACAAGATAGAATCAATAGACCAGCACCTTCAGTTCGGGATCACCTGGCTGGTTTCGCCCCTTGAAAAAATTAAGACTTCCAGCCAGGACACCCCTTCTTGAAGGTCCAGGGATGCAAAAAAGAATATGTTAAGATCAACGAACACGTCACCTCGTTTCCCGCGATCACCGGACCTTCGGACCAGACTTCGGATCTTCGGACCGCGGACTGACTCGACGTCAGCTGGGTCAGGTGCCGCGTGCGGCCGGACGCGATGGCGGCGGGCCGGGCCTGCAAGAGCACCAAGCACCCTAAGCTCCACGTCCAACGCCTGTCCACGGTCGACCGTCGTGGTGGCCGATCTGAGGGCCGAGAAGAACATCACGACCAACGTGGCGGAAGTTGTGGCCGTGCATTTGAGTTGGAAGGTCTATGGCCTCCAGTCGTACCTTCTGAGGTTCGGGGTTTGGGGAGGAGGTACGACTGGAGGTGTAGGGGACGGTCTATGGGCTCAAATGAAGCGACAATCCTCCTTCGTTGGCCCCTCTGAAGACTTGAAAACCAGGTACGTGGAACAAACCGAATTACACAGAAACAATCATGGAAGTCCGCAGGTTAGACCTGGAAGTCCAGTCGACCATTTTTAGAATGGTTGACTTGTTTTTGTAGCGTAAAATGCTTCATATGAGTCAAGCAAGATGGTTTTTATGCTTCTTTGGGTTTCAGACCCTTAAATCAATGCTACATTGGACATTCCAGAGGACAGGAAGCACAGTTGTCTTGACCCATATGTCCGACCAGTCGTCGCGGTGTCCAGTCGTGCTCGTCGCGCCCATGGTCGACCGGATCATCGAGATCGATCGAATCGTTTCGAAAGGAAAAAGGTCACAACTTCTGCAGGCCCAGACGATCATGGACCCTGATATGGAGGGGTCGGACCCGAATCCTCTGGAGGGGTTTGGACCCTGTAAGGTTTTGAGGGACCAGTCGAGCTGTTTGGAGCCTCTGGGGGTTCCGAACACCTGCACCCACACCGCACCTGCCCTTGGATTTGCTGAAGGACCTGAACAGTATGTGGACCATTCGTTCTGCGTGTTCCTGGCTAAATATCATTCAATATGTTTCTGACAGTGTAGGGGTCGGTCCAGCGACACCGACCGACAGTCCTGGAGCTGGGGGTTTTGTCACCCAAATTCGAAAGTCCAAACCTCGACCATCTTGACCCCGCTACAGGACCCAGTTTGACGCCCAGGTTTCTGCGGATTCACCCTCTTTTCGCCCATCCCCCCCCAGGCTGTTTTTGTCGCGCCTCGCCGGGCGGGGCGCCAAAGGCCGTGACGCCGCGGGCTTCTCGCGGCGCTCGGGTTTCGCCTGAACAAAGGGTCACGACCAGCACCCGACTGTGCCAGGTCACCACCTGCGATTTTTGAAGTCTACAGCCTACAGCCTCCATTTCCGAGACATGTTGGAAGGGCCTGGTGTATGCAAATGGGAGTTATGCTAGTCTTATAGTTTAAATTTCTGCCTATATCTCTTATAAGTTTTGTATAGTTGTTCTTTGCTCCTGGACCCTCCAAGTTGGGTGTTTCCTGTGTTTCCAAGCCCGGTACCCAGGTTCACCACCTGTTAGGTTTCTAAAGCCACCGGACTTGGAAGGTCCTGGTTGCTGCATGCTGTTCGTTTTGGGGACGTCAAACGTCTTTCGTTTTTTTGACCAGACTATTTTTTCGTCCACAGCTGACAACCGCGAAAGGCCCCAGTCCCAATGTGGGTCACTGAGTCTGGGATGGTCCAGTCTACCAAAGAGCTGCAACCCTGAAAGGCGCCTTGCCCAATGTAGGTCACCGAGTCTGGGATGGTCAAGTTTGTCAAAGATCTGCAACCCGCAAACGCATAATCTTCAATGTGGGTCACAGAGTCTGGAATGGTCAAGCTTGCCAAGGACGTGCAATTGGCAAAGGCAAAATTCCCAATGTGGGTAATTGATTCTGGGATGGTCAAGTCTACCAAAGAGCTGCAATCTTGAAAGGCGGCTTGCCCAATGTGCATCACCGAGTCCGGGATGGACAACTTAGCCAATGAGGTGCAACCCGCAAAGGCACCTTCCCCAATGTGGGTCACGGAGTCTGGGATGGTCAAGCTCACCAAAGAGCTGCAATATGGAAAGGCATAATTGCCAATGTGCGTCACTGACTCTGGGATGGTCAAGTTTGCCAAAGAGATGCATTGGTCGAAGGCATGTTCCCCAATGTGGGTCACTGAGTTGGGAATGGTCAAGCTCACCAACAAGTTGCAACTCTGAAAGGCGTAGTCTCCAATGGAGCTCACTGAGTCTGGGATGATCATGTTGACCAAAGAGCTGCAATCCCGAAAGGCGTAATCCCCAATGTGGGTCACCGAGTCCGAGATGGTCAAGTCAACCAAAGAGCTGCAGCCTTCAAAGGCATTATTCCCAATGTGGGTCACCGAGTGCGGAATTGTCACTTTGGCCAACGTGCGGCATCCTTCAAAAGCGCGTTCAGGAATGTGTGTTTCATCAATTGGGATTTCGACCACAAGCAACAGTCCCCAGTCAACGATGCCACCCAGACTGGCGATCGCGTCTTTGTTGGAGCATATCACTACATTTGGCTTGAAGACAACACTCACAACAGCATTTTCAGTGATTCCAGAGTCCGATACCTTTGCATAGTCGTTGTCCAGCAAGTGGTTGTCTCCGACAATTACCTCGACAGCTGTAGTGCGGCGAGTGAGCTCGTCCCAAGGCTGTCCCTCCTTGACCTGCTGCTTGAGTGCCCGGCCTGTTGTCTCAGGCGTGACTTCAAGAACCATGACTTCACCACTTGGCTGCAGCGCTGAAATTTTCATCGCCATGGCTCAAAAAACCGATTCAGATGTTGATATCAGCTGCTTGCTTGTTGACCTCGAGGAGAAGTCTATGTTCTTCCAACAAACTTCGCTCCTCTTCCTCCCCAGAGGTGACCTGTCTTCGTCTCCCTCGTCTCTTTGGAGCCCCTGGACGGCTGTTTCCTGCAGTGCCCAGCAGGCTGGACGTCAACAAAAACGTCAACACCAGAGGTTGAAGAAGCCGAAAAAACCGTGGGATTCCGGTCAGACACTCCTGTTTTTCTGTAAGGATTTGTTTAGGATTGTAGCTTGGGGCACGTGCCAAGAGAGGTTAAGTCGGTGAAGTCACCTGAAAAAGGATGTCATTACTGGGGTACCCAACCTGGGATAGTCTATAGGTTGAGTTTGTCCCATTACCTGTAACAGTCAGTAGACAAGAACATCACTATTTTGGAGATGAGAAGGCCTGCAACTGCACCATCATCATCCACTAAAACCTGGTGTTTTTCATGGCATAGACCCAATCTATTTACCCTGGAAGTCCAGTCGACCAATTTAAAAGGGTTGACTTAAAGCCAAGTAGTAGTGTAAAACAATGCTTCCCCAGGACATTCAGGACCAAACCGTTGACTCGAGTTGGTCACGCAAAATCACAACTCTCCATTTTGAGGTATCCAAAGCACCAAAAGATCAGAGCTGGGGGACTGTGCCACACCAGAAGCGATCACATATCGATCGATCGGACAAGTGTTTGTGCAAAATGTCTCCAACCAAGAGAGGTTGAACAGCCTGAACCAGGACCCAGGGATCCAGTGCTACATATGGGATGGGCTATAGCTATAAGGCTGTTCGTCACCTCTCTTGGAAGACCACTTCGGCAGACAAGTTGGAAGATCCAGCCCTGAGAGTCCAGTCATGACTCATTTTACCTCGAACTGGCAGTGGTGGATTATGACTTCCAGGTGGGGTAAAGTGAGTCATTGGACTTCTTACTTATAGGCAGGTACTTATGATTATGATGTGGCTGGCGCAAAAAGCCACCCCGCAATGTCTCAAATTTCTCTACACTCCACTCTACAACAAGCCAGACTGTGCCTGACAAAAAAAAAAAGGAAACCACACCCTCTGGTCCCAACGGCTCCTTCGGCAAGAAGTACCACGTACCAGAAGGTGGATCACATAAAGAGTACGAGTATAGAGGAAAAGAAGAACACCCACCGAAACCTCCATGTAACCACTCTGCTCGTCTTCCCCAAGGACTGGGGAGACCTGGATTCCGGACCCGACCTTCCCTCCCCGCTTCCCTTCCGGCGGGCGCCACTCAAACGGGACTCACCGTCCGTCCGGGCGCCTTGAGCCGTTTGCTTTTGCTCTCCTTGACCATGACCTCGGACTGAGACACCCCCATACGCTCCGTGAACGACGCCCGACCGGTCTCCAAGCAGTATTTGAGACCCCTGACCCCTCAGGATTCGGGTCCGACCCCTCCATAGGTTCGGGCCCAGCGTCGCGTCTGGGACAGTGTTTTTCACCTCCAGATGTTGTCTTGAAATATCTTGCTTCGTGAGGCAAGGTTCAATTTTTGGCACATGGCACGTAGATGCACATACGATTACGTACTGTACAAACTATCGAAACGGATCTCTGCGGTATGACACTGCAGATTTGAGGTGGCACATCCTGGATGACCCAGCATGACCCAGGTGAAACAATGTGAAACTACCAGAAACTATACAGTAGTCACACTGTGAGCCCCACTGGAGTCCTTTCAGGATCTCGGGGTGAAATGAAGACGTGACCGTCACGCGCAGTTCCCACCGCCATTCCCACCGCAGTCGCCACCGCCACCGCCGCCACTGCCGCCGCCACCGGTGTCGACCACTACAGCGACCACGACAGGCAAGTCCACTCTGGCTGATGCTTGAGGAACTGGTGCATGTGCATGTGGGGTTGATGACTTCTGAGATCCTGCCTGTGCATGCTGTGGTTTGCCACAGGTGCACCCAGTGTTATTCTTGCAGCCCCAGCAACAGTATCCATGACCTTTGACCTTCGCGGATGTTCTTCATATTTTGGCAATCTGGACGCCAACACTTCAGTGTTTTTACACTGGTACAAAGGGGTCCACATTCCCATCCTCGGCTGCATCCGTAGCAGCAATATCCATGACCTTGAGTCGGGTGGGCTTCCTTCCAGCAGCCCTCTTTACGACATTTCACTGGCGCCTTTGCGGCAGCGCATCCCATTGGCGATAGCAGCAGCGCACAGCGGCGATGATTTTCGTTGACCCTGTGGACGCATGGAGACTGCCTTGAGAGTGCCAGACGCTGACTTTCTTGGGACCAAAAATGGAGCTTCTTTGGAAATCATGCTGAAGTGCAGGGAGGGGGTTGTGAAAAATTGCTTGCTGTGCCAAGTACAGTTGACATTACTAGGCTCAGTATCACTTAAGACTTAATCCAAGCTTTTGAAGCTGCTCTGATGGTGACACCTCCCTACCATATTTCAGTGAGCACCAAATGTTGTACGAACATCCACCCACGCCCGAGCCATGCGCACGGAAACGCCGCACAGTCGACACCTCCGTGCACCGTCCGACACCGACGCCGATGCCCTCGTCGTCGCGAGTCCGGACGAGCACAGCCGGCGGTGACCGTGTCATGGTCTAAAGCCGCTTCGAAGTCCGACGAAGTCCGAAGACGGTGCTCCGGGATCCCGGATCCCGGATCCATGTCCCTGAACGCCATGGTCTCGTCCGGGTGCGAAGCAAGAGTTGCTCGTCCTTTCACTGGACTTCCCAACAGAGGTGGTAGCCAGTGACCAGGTCACTAGGACCCGTCACCTGGGGTACCGAACTGGGATAGCTTAGATATCGGGTTCTTCAACCTCTCTGTGGGTTCGTGGATCGATCGATCCGGGAAAGCGCCTCATGCTGTCTCCGCCCGCCATTTGGGGTGATGATGGACCGGAAGGAGGTTCTCTCAAACGCGTGGCGCGCGTGTAGCTGGAGTGTGTAGCTCTATTCAAAGCACGCTGCCAGTGAACTCAGGAGCTCGCTGCCAGCAAGTGTGTGGTCTTAAAGCACACTGTGCACCAGCCATACCGGGTTCCGGTAGCTCTTAGAATAGATTCCGATGGGAAAGAAAATGAATGCAAACGCCCCTGGTCCTTCTGACTCTATGTGTGCTTACCGTTCCGTAGCTATTCATGGATGGCATTAGCTGTTGTACATGCAGGCATTGGTGTCCCTCTGCCCCAAAAACCTGGAGACGCGCGTCGTTGCACCTCCAGAATCTGTGTTTTTCCCACACGCGACCCTGCTCCCAACACCTGATCCTTTGTCTCCAGTGCGGTGCTCTTCACAAATGGCGCCCTGTCCACCACCGGCTCGCAGTCCCCCAAACGCCCAAGATGGCGAGGAGACCGAGCAGTCTCTTCTTCGGTGAGAAAAGTCGATGCCCGGCACAGCTGCGTTTGCTGCGTTTGGGTTCGGAGTTTTCAGAAGAATTCCGTGTGTGGCGGATCTTCCAACTAGCAGCACCCGACTGAACCAGATGCTGTGAACCAGAACTCCCACAGGGAGACGAAGGGCACACATCTTGTGGCAGGTGGTGACCTGTGAAGTCGGGTCAAAGAAATGCAACATGTCTGCCTGGAGATCATGGTTAGTCGATATTGGATTCAATCGTTGGATGTGTCGACTTCGTTGGATGTGTTTATGTGTCGACTTGGACCAGGAACACATGAGGCCAGGGGGAGTGGGGCAAATGTGAGGCATTTGACTGGCATTTATCCTATACCACCAAGGATAAATACTGTAATATAAATATGCCACCTATGGATTCAAAAAGCGCTCGAGCGAAGAGTCTAATACAAATCGGGAGAAGGCCCTCAAACTGCCAGGGATGAACAACTGTCTGACGTGCCGAGACGCTCCTGGACCAAGTCTCTATGGTTTTGAGGGACCAAGGGCTGTTTGGAGCGTCTGAGTGACACAAATAAGCTTAAACCCTCTTCTGCAGTTGTTGGACATTAGCTACTGTGGCAAGCAACCCAATGTGTTAACAAATGTATAACTGCGTTCAACATAAGATGTTCACAGCTCTCCTCTCCTCCATCCCCTTCCCTAGGGATCCAGTCGTACCTTCTCAGAAGGTACTTGGACCCTCAAAACCACATAAGAATGTCTCCAATCACCGTACCTGAGAAGGTACTTGGATCCCTAGGGCTTTGATAGAGCCAGCAAAAATCGCACATGTGAGTCTGCAGCTTGAGCTGGCCGTGACGGATGGAAGGCCAGCATCAGTTCCAAAGAAGCCTCGGGCCGAGGAGGAGTTCGCAGGGCGCAGCGCAGAGCCATCCCAATCTGTCGGAACCACCGATTTCATGGCCTGACTCCTCCTGCATCCATTGTTGTACAAGCCCTGGGCGTCCAGTCGACTATAAAAAGAATGGTCTGACTAGGGGAACTGAAAGGGAACTTCCTTTACTCCAGCCAGTCAAATATAGTCGAACTGGACTTCTAGGGCAAGCATGTTGCATGACCAAAACCACGTGAAGCTAACGGAAAAAGATGCTCTTCTCACACGTCCATCTTTAAAGGCTCCAAGTGGGGAACCTATAGCCTCCTCGTTCGCGGGGCGCCCCGAGGTTCGGGGGTTCAGGGGTGTGAGTATGAGTCATGGGATGAGTCATGTGGATGACCTCCAGAGTGGAGTACCCTGGTTTCGTCCAGTCGACCATGTTTAAAACATTTTAAAACAGTCGGACGATGACTCGGTGATCCGACTGAGTGAAAAGGAACTGACACTGAACACGACCGGGTGGCGCCGAAAATCGTCGGTTCCTGGAGTATGTACGCATGACGACAGTGGAGGGTGGAGTCTGAGGTATTTTCCGGATGGGTATTTTCCCATGACCATACTAATCCTGAAGGTGCTGAGGTAGTATGGGTATGGCCGGGTATGACCATAAACAATAAAAGTAGCTGTCCAACTCGTGTTTTGTTTGTACTACGACCTCCAGGAACTCCAGAGTTGACCAGGTCAGGAACTCTCCGGACCAGCAGGGTGCTGAGTTCGCCCATGACCAGTCTCTTCGGAAAGGATCGCACCTGGCCCCAACCCCAAACCCCTGGCTCAACATCGGCAGATACACTCCAAGTCAGATTGCCCCCCTGGTTCCAATTGAAAGTCATCTTCCTGGACCTTCACATCGGGGTGTTTCATAGAGATCCATGGATAGGTCTCTGTGCTGGGGCGGCTGCAACAGCCAGGTGACCCCGAGCCAGGTCCAGCCAGGTGATCTGGTTCGGAGCGCGTGGTCCATCCACGTCACCATGTGACATCCGGAAATCGTCAGCCCAGACGCTCATGGACCCTGCTAAGTAGGGGCCGGAGGGGTCCGGACCCTCAAATCCCGAGGGTTTTGAGGGACCAAGGGCTGTTTGGAGCGTCTGGGAGAGTGTTTTTGTTCCGCTTCGTCCTCGTCGTCCGGGGTCGTACCCTTGAAGTCCAAATGTTGACCGAAGTGGAATACCAAGAGAGGTTGAGAGACCATATAGGACCCTGGTCTGTGGTACATATGGGACGGGCTATAGGGCTGTTCCACCTCTCTTGGTAGTCGTTGACTCGGGTCACCTAAACTGTAAGGATCCGAATGGACCCTCAGAAGGGGTTGAACCCTCTAGTTCACAAGGGGCCCCGAACCCAACCCTCGTTTTGTTTCGGGTGCAGATCCTTAGGGAAAGACAATTAGTTTTTAGTCTTTGACTCCCAGGGTATAGGAAAAACCGGCGTTCGGAGCGTATCGTAACCGTGGCACTGATGCGCAATGGCGCAGAGGCCTGGGGCGATGGCACGTTCGGTGCGTCCAACGGCGAAGCGCATCGGTGTCAAGTCTGACCGCTGCGAACTGGAGAGCCCGTCCAGATTTCTGTCATCCTGACATATACCAGCACCCGAACTCGGCCAGGCTGTTAGTTGAGGGTTGTTGGACCCTGTCTCAGGTCGAACCATTGATGACCTGTAGAGTCGGGTCCTGGTATAGGATTGTGAGGGGTGCGTTGCACAAGTCTTCAGAGGCTCGTTGCCAACTCTTGTCCTGGTTACCAACATTTCAGCCAAACCTGACATAGAATTCCCACCATCACGGTCACTTGGTGACCAGTCACTGATTGTTATCTACTGCGTCTGTTCCAATCGCACCTTCTCAAACCCATCTTGACCTGTTCCTTCGTGACGTCCCCATTCCAATCCCAAACCAGCGTGGTCAATCAAACCAGCGCATCGTCTCTGCCGTCTGAAGACCGCCGTCACCGAGACCGAGGATCCGACACTCCGAAACCGACCGCACCGTCCAGGTCTCGTCTTCACGAGGATCCGGGCA